GCGGGGTGGGGGGAGGGTGGGCTGTCTTTAAACAGGTTTGATACTTTGGGATAAAAGGTTAGCCTTAATCTCTAGCTGGGTGACTGCCCCGTGTTAATTTAACTTTATGATACTGAAATGGGTCACAGACTATGACTGAAGTTATTCAAAAAGCACAAGATACACACACAAAAAATTAAACCAAACCACAGGGACAAAGGAGGCAACCCCCAATGCCCCCACCCCAAAGCCCTAGACTTTGGGGTCATAAGGCCCAATTATAAAAATTATAATCAAATATAGCACAGCAGACATGATCTCATTTCAATGGAATTGTAACTGAACTCTTGAAGCCTTGTACATTTGACACACTCAACCCCAGGCAACCCAGAAGGAGCTCAGTTTCACTTATGTGTTCATACTATGTTATTTTCCTTAGTTGGTTTTCCCACTTGTTTCCCTCCAGCCATACAAGCTGGCTTTGGGCTTGGTCTTTCCAGCCATACAAACTGGCCTGGGCTCTAGCAGAAAGATGGAAACCTCACATTTGGAAGGGTGGTAGCACCTTCCAACTACTGCACTCCCAAATGATCACCTGGATACATTTGTGAACCAAATACGAAAGGCTCTACTGCGTACTTTCTATGGGCTGATCAAGGTGCCAAGCACAGATGTGGCTTACTGTGTCATTTTTATTGCTGACTTCATCATTAAAAGCTATGTGCCAGGCACCGGGTATAGTGGGAAAAGGGTAGACTTGAAATAAAATCTAACCTCATCTTACAAGTTATACCTACACCATCTTCCCATCAAAAAAAAATCTAATATACAGGGAGTACCAAAAAAATGTATATACATTTTAAAAGGAAAAAACTGTATTAAAATTGTAATACTCAATATATACCAATAACATTTATTGTGGTATCTTGTATCTCTTGTAATTGCAGAAGTCAAATATGACTTGAGTATTACAATTTCAATACAGTTTTTTCCTTTCCTAAAATGTGTATACTTTTTTTTTGGCACCCTCTGTATATTAAGATTACAGGGGCTTAATATTTAGATGGAATAGAATAAATGGCCTAGATAGAAACACTATAGAATCTTTTGTAGTGTTCACTACAGAACACTGGGTCTATCCATCCCAATCTTCATTCCAGTTACTGATTTAACTGTTACCTTAATTGGAGAATGGCCTTAATATTCAGGTGTCTGCATTATGGATTTTTATTTGCTCCTCTAGTAAAGCTCACAGCATAAGAATTATTTTCCATTGTTGAAACACACTCCCATCTCTACCACATTGTTAAGGGGCATGTAAGGGATTTTTCCAGGCTAATTATATCTCCATTTTTACCGTACTCCCATGTAGGAGGCAACACCGCTTTTCATGTTTCACTTAACCCTAAGGAGCCCAGAGGCAATGAGCACTACACAGAAAGACAAGCAGCGTGGCCCAACTTACAGCCATTTTGGCACAGATAATATACTTGCCATCAAGATCAATGGCATGATGTTATGTGATTTACCGTCTTCTCTGTGATCAGGATCAGACAGGATCTCTGAGAAAAGGGTTATTTTACAGTTTCTAAAAATTTTAACTCTCCTCAAATATTGACCAATTATAAAAGAGAGACCTAGCGATAAAGAATGTGTGGCCTTCTGATTTCAAAATCCTTTCACTAAAAGTGTTGCAGCAGAGAAAGAGGAAACTTTTCTTTTCTCATTTTAATATAAAGATTTGTTATGTAAAATTTGGACTCAGTCAAAAGGCCACACTAAAGACTTTGAAGGCCACAAGTTTCCTTAAGGCCACAGCCGCATGGGCTCCATGGATCGTCCTGCCTCTGACTCCTAAGGAGCTGGGACTATAGGTGGTCCCCGCTGCATCCAGCTAATTTTTCTAGTTTTAGTAGAGAAAGGGTCTCATTTGTGCTCAGGCTGGTCTTAAATTCCTGACCTCCAATAATCCTCAGCTTCCCAGAGTGCTAGGATTACAGGCATGAACCACCACTCCCAGCCAACTACTATATTTTCATGAGGCTAAGTACCAATATCAAAGCAAAATAACTCACCCATAGCAAATGACAAGTCGAACTTGGGAAGCAGGAATTGAATTTGTATTTCTCAACCCAAGCTGCTACTGAACACTGCCTTTCAGGGGATCATTATTTACAAAATAACAACAAAGATTTGTGAGTGAAAGAAAGGAAACTTCCAACTGACCTCCTCTTCTGGGACCGAAAGAGCAAAACAGCAAGGAGGAACAGGAACGGTAACCAGATGTCATAGAGTAAGAGGATGGGAGCATGTTGCCACTCACCTCAAATCCCTCGTGATATCTACATGTAATTTGAGAGCTCAAAAAAACTTTAGCACTTTGTTTTCTTCTTGCAAGTGTGACCTAAAAGCTAGTTAACTGTGTACGTGTAGCTATTGTATTGTGTTCAGGATAACAACCACAAAAGAGGATCCTGAGCTACCTCCTTATTTTTAAAAAAAACTTCCACCATTTTACTTGCTTTTAGCTTTCTTTAGTTAAACAGGAGTTTTACTTAGCCAGGATTTTAACTCTGCTTTAGTGCACAGGGCCAGTGTCCTTCTGTGCCTTTTTGAAGGTATAGTAAAGTAATGAGAAAACTAAACAAATGATGCCTCAAACGCTGCCCCTTCTTCCCCAACCCTTCTAGTTCCTCTCACTCAGGCACTACTGATCACATCCCACTTTTATCCCAGGGGACCTCACAATTCCTGGGGGAAGGGATGGGATGTAGAGTCATCTTCCAGTTCCAACAATATTTAACTTTTAATCTCCATTTGTTGTTTTCTTTTGTATTACCACAAACTTATCAACTACAAAAGAGAATTTTACAGTCTCTACTTTTGAACTCTTAGGAAAACATATTCTTGAGGGTAGCAGATCCTCAGAAAAGAACTAGAGGAAATTTCCTAGAAGCCCTACTTAGTCAGAAAGAACCTTTGATACTAGGATTAGCATCCGGCTGGATTCCTCGCTTGATTTCTGAATAAAAGGCAACAACATACCGAGGAAAAAAGTGATGATGTAGATTCTGAAAAACAAACTAAAAAACCTGAGTGACCCACAAAGCATCGATTTCCTAGGTTTTGGGATGCAAAATGTGGTCCCTGGACCAGCAGCACCTGCCAACTCAGGAAAGCTTGCTAGAAATGCAGAATCTCAGACCCCACCCCACACCCACGTGCAATAATCTGTGGTTTACCAAGTTCCCTAGGACGAAAATGCACCGTGAAGTCTGAGAAGCACTGTTTGAGGCCACTACCTGCTTCTTTCATCCTGTGCAGAATTAGTTGAAATAATTATATCTGGAGGCACTAATCCTAATTTCTTTTTAAAAAAGAATCAATAAAGCCTTAGATAAACATTTTAATGATATATAAAACTGCTTTGGAGCTAAATAAATCATACAAAAGGCAGCCTTTTTTTTTTTTTTTTTGGCAACAGGATCTACCTCCCTCTTTTGCCTAGCCTGGAATGCAGTGACATCATCATGGCTCACAGTAACCTCAAACTCCTAGACTCTAGGGATCCTCCTGTCTCAGCTTCTAGAGGAGCTGGGACTGCAAGGGTGCCGCCAAGCCTGGCTGAAAAAGGTGCCATGCTTCATCAAGCAGTCTAGTTGATTGAAGCACCACCAAGCTGCAAAAGAAGGCTTAATAAATGCTGATAATCAAAATGAATGTCCTACATTCACATGGCACTTAATATTAGAAAACTCAATTCTTTGCTTTGGGTCTTTTAAGAACCTCACAGGGGAGTAATATGTGATGACACATGCTTATGTATAATTTTACTTCAGAATTTTTAGATTATTAAGACTTTCCAGGGAAGAACCACTTTTAATTAAAAACAAAGCCTACCTTTGCCAATATAAATGACTGATTATATCATCAATTCCTGACTGTATTACAAGGTGCTTACTGAATGAAATGACCTATCTCCACCACTCATCCCCTCAAAAAAGAATGGCAAGAATTTGGTGCCTCATAGTGGAAAAGGAGTAACTAGACTAGAACAGCCTAGAAAAAAGTATAATGGCCATGTATTTTGATTCTATATATTTTTTGAATCCTAGATGGTCCATGAGGTTGAATCCAAACTCTAAGAAAGTATAAAATAAATGTGGACATACATTCCCTCAATAATTGAACTATTTCCTATTCTCATGCCAAAGCTTCCTCTATAATTTGAAAATAATCTCCCCCTCCCCTAAAATACAAAAGTATCGTTTAAACCAGTTCACTGCTGCCCCCAAACAATATAACATCCTTAAGCTGGCTGGGTGCAGTGGCTCACCCCTATCATCCTAACACTCTGGGAAGCCGAGACAGGTAGATTGCCTGGCAGAGGAGTTCAAGACCAGCCTGAGCAAGAATGAGATACCGTTTCTACTAAAAATAGAAAAACTAGCCAGGCATCGTGATGGGTGCCTGTAGTCCCAGTTACTCAGGAAGCTGAAGCAAGAGGATCACTTAAGCCCAAGAATTTAAGGTTGCTGTGAGCTATAATGCCATAGCACTCTACCCAGGGTGACAGAGTGAGACTCAGTCTCCAAAAAAAATTAAAAAAAAGAAAAGAAACCTAAACCATCATCACACTCAGTTCTACCATATCAAAACAGAGGATCTGAACTTTAGAGAATTTAAAGTAATTCACCATTTGAATAACTATGGACAAGATTGTTGCTCTGGGCTAGATATCTGTTGTCTCTCTTTTATCCTTTATCCTAGGATAAAAAGCATTCCTAATGTCACCTTCCTACCTATAAAGGCTCATGAGGTTACGTATAATACAGGACATAGGAAACAAAGGACAGCTGAGAGCTTCTGAGACCAGCACCCCTGTGTTTTAAATAAACACAATCATTTCAACATAAGGTAATGGGTATCCAAGTAAGGAAAAAAATATACAGGAAAAAATGCTCACAAAGGACCCAATACACATTTTAAACATCAAGCACAACAAAGGAAACCAGACTCACGTGAGGGGAATAGCATTTGTTTTTGATTGTCTTCTGCTTTTCAGGGCCCGAAGTCTATCACCTTGTGTCACTCCATTGATTTCGTCATCATCACTGTACTGTGTAAGTAAAAAGACACTGAGCTAATGATTGAAGTTGCACTCATTAATGCAGCAAAGCACAGTGGCTACCTGCTCATACTAACACACACATCAGCACATACATACAGACACACCAAATTTCTGCAGAACTCTGACATGTATTTCTCCTTTCAAAATTAAGCTACTGATAACGTTTCGAGGCAATCAGGTTGACTTTCAGAGACACAGAACCCAACAGCACTCTTGTTATAAAACATAGAGACAATGAAGAGGCATGTGGATTTATAACTGTGAAAACAATCTACTAAACATTTCACAATCCACATATCACCACTTAATTTAGTAATGCTACCCCCTAAACTCTTGGCTCTTTAAAAGCCTTCTCTCAATCAGCTGTCCTGAAATGGGAACAAGGGGTGAGGGAGGGCCCGGGAACACCTAGGTTCACCTAAGAGCTGACATCACAGCCTTCTTTTTTCTACCCATACCTAGTTTACAGACACACAACCTTGTTTTAACTGTTTTGAATAAAAAGTTCCTAGAGAGGGTTACAAATATAAAAAACTGTGTGACGATAATCCCTCAAAATGTGCTTTATTATTTTCACCTACAGTTTTCTCCATGCCCTAAAAGGTTCTCAACAGCAGTTACAGCAACAACAATAGCCTGACCAGCATGATTCGATTACCGGTTCGGGTTCTTGCTTGTCTTTGTTCTCGACCCCATTTATTGAAATGTCATCAACAGCAGAGAGGAGTCGGGAGAAGGCTGCTCTGTGTTGTCCATTCTCCTGTCCCTTTAACTTTTGACGAAAATAGTCACCTTCCAGCCACAGGCTTGCTTGTTTCCTAGAGCATTAAAATAACATCAAAACATAGCTTTCCAGAAAGATAAACAAACAACTGTTTGTTTCCTACCAGACTGTTATTAGAGATAACAGGAAAATTCCACTTCCTATCAGTTTCCAGACCCATGTGTTCCCTGTGGAATGACAAAAGTTTTCTATCTACTTACATCACCAAAAATTGTTGCTGAGGCCCAATCACTGAGCCAGGTCTACAGATTCTGACCCATGCAATGGTCTCAGCTGCTGTCATCCTGTAATGCTTCATGATGTAGCAGGATATCAGAGTGCCTGTGCGACCAAGGCCAGCTAGGAAAAGAAACAAACCAATGAAACCTGTTCTTACATACACCTGAATTTTGGTGTTCTCACATACACCAAAATTTTGTTGGACAGGTAGAAGTCTTTTTATAAAAGGCTTCCCATAATTCTGCATCCATAGAGCAGTTTTTAAGGCTGGTTTGATAATGAATTACCTGGGGAGTTTTTAAAAATCCTACTGCTCAGTCTTGTCCCCAGAATGCAGATTTAATTGGTAGGCAGTACAGCCTGGACACAGAGACTTCTAAAATCCTCCAGGGCATTCTGTGTAGCTTAGACTGAGAATCACTTTCTGAGCATGATTCACAATGGGTGCGGTGTTTTCTGCCGTGGGTGTTTTGGGAAAATGGTACCATCTTTCCAAAAAGAAAAGCTCAAAATTTTGCACTTACTCCCACAACCAACTGAATTTTCTACTCTTCTGTTATACCCATTTTCACTTAGATTTTTTAATACACTCTCTTAATGTTGTCCTTCCAGTCTAGACTATTCTAGGCTATTTATTCATTACATCCTGTGAGGGTTAATTTTATGTATCAATTCAGAGGGGGATGAACTCGGGCAGGCCTCACCCAATCAAGTCTGAAGGCCTAAACAGAACAAAAAGACCAAACTTCCCAACCAAGAGGACTTCTCCAGCAGAGGACCTTCAGACTTCATCTGCACCTTGGGGTCTCCTGGGTCTCCAAGCTGCCAATCCTGAGTGCCTATCTTCAACTCACTAGACTCTGTATTTGTGTGAGCCAGTTTCTTCAAATAAATCTCTTATAAAAGTATCCTATTGGTTTTCTTTCTCTGGAGAAGTGTTATTAATACAGATTTGCATGATGAAGTGGGATGCTGCTATAACAAATACATAAAAATGGAAAAGTACCTTAGGAATTGGAATTGGACAGGCTGGAAGAGTTTTGAGATATATTTTGGGAAAAGTCTCAATTGTCTTGAAAGGACTAATAGTAGCATGGACATGAAAGATGATTACTCTGGTACAGTCTCAGATGGGAATGAGGAATGTATTAATTTGAAAACAATCCTCATTATAAACTGGCAAAGAAATCAAATGCAATTGTGTTCTAGTATTTTATGGAAGACAGAATTTGTGAGTGTCAACCTTGGAGATTTAGCAGAGGAGATTTGTAAGGAAAATGTTGAAGGTACAGCCTGCTTTCTCCTTACTCATTAAAATAAAACATAAGAAGAGAGAGATGAATTGAAGAAGGAACTGTTAAGCAAAAGGCATCCAAGAACTAAAGATTAAAAAAATTTGCAGCCTGTATATGTTGTAAAAATTAGAAAGCATGTTCTATAGAGAACATCAAGCATGAGGATGAACAATTAAGCCATAAAGAGATTACTCATGTATTTAATCAGCCATCTCAGCAGAAGCCAGGAATAGAGATAGGATTATACCAGTAGAAGACACCACCTGTTTGGATGAAAAAGAACACACATGGAAAGAAATAAAGGAAAGCTTTCAGATTTCTGACAGTAGGTACCTCGGTGCTTGTACACCTTGTCCTACACAAAAAGAGCAGCATGACACCAAAGGCAATCCAGAGATCCAAGGCAGCAACACACAGAGCATATAGGCTGAGGCAAGGCTGTGTACTTCTGAGTTTCATGGGGTGGGGCCACCTCTACTGGTTACAGTGGGTCAGACAGCCCCTGCCTGTGGCATAGAGGGCAAAGTCACCACTGCTAAGAGCACAACATCCAGCTAAAGAGGCTTATTCTGTAGACTTAAGATGTAACAGCATTTGTCTTGCTAGGTTTTGAACTTGATTGGGAGCGTAAATCCTTTCTTCTTTCTAATTTCTTCTTTTTGGAATGAGAATGTCTAGGCTGTGTTTGTCCTACAATTACATCTTGAAAGCATGTAATTTGTCTGGTTTTGCAGGTCCACAACTGAGGAGGCACAGGGAGTCTCATTCACCTTTACCTGATGTAGATGGCATCCAGATGAGACTTTGAACATGGAGTTGATGCTAAAATGGGTTGAGACTTTTGGAGCAGCTGGGATGGAGTGAATGTATTTTCAATGTGAAAAGGACACAAATCTGGGGGAGGCAGAGACCTGAATATTATACACCAATTATGTCCCACCTGCCCCTCCCAAATCCTTTATCTTGGTATGTTTAACTCCCAATGTGACAGTATTTGGTAATAGGGCCTTAAAGGAGGTAACTGAGGTTAACTCAGGTCATAAATGAGAGGTCCTAATCCAACAGAATTCCTTATAAAGTAAAAAAGAGATACCGAAAGTGAGGGCACCCAAAAGAAAAACCATGTGAAGACACAAAGAGAAAACAACTGTCTCTGCAGGCCAAGAAGCAAGGCCTCAGCAGAAACCAATCCTACCAGTACCCTGATCTTGAACTTACAGTCTCCAGAACTGTGAGAAAATAAATGTTATTAAAGCCACCCAGTCTATGGTATGCTCTAACAGATTAACACCTCCTAATGCATTTAAATTTTCACACACAATCCAATTTTCATACTTTCATCATTTTTTTCATCCAAAACAAAGATCAAATCATATCAAATTCTCTTTGGGCTTTTAATTGGTCATCAGTCCACTTCAGAGTTTTGCATCCTCAGTAGTACTGACATTTTGAGCCAGACAAGTCTTTGTTGTAGGAGATGGTCCTGCATTGTGGGACACTTATTAATAGCAGCATCTATGGCCTCTACCCACTAGATGCTTTTCAGGTTGTGAAAACCAATTCCTCCAGGAATTGCTCAATGTCCCCAGGGGGCACCCTTGGACATCATTCCAGGGGGACAGTGAAGCACTGATGAACTATAAGAGTCAGTGAGGAGGTCTGGAGCTGAGGAAAACCAGCACAAAGGCAAGTGCTTGGGAACTGGTGAGGTCGAGCCAGCTGGCCAGTACTGGGGACAAGAAACAGCTGCCCTGCAGTTTTTTGATTTTGTGCTAATCTACTGCCTAGAGCAGCCTTGGAGGGCTGAATCGAGTAGGTGGAATCAAACAGCCGGGACTGAATACTAGGGTGGATCTCCCACTGGCCTGGCAGCTAGCTGCTACTGTTGGAGAAATAAGCCACGTGGGAGAAACAGTCTGCAGGGTCCTAGCGCATGGATTGGTTCTAGCACAACTGCTAAACTCAGGCATCTATTCTTGGGGTGAACTAAGCAGCCCTGGGAATTGTTGTCAGGAGACATTGTGTGATGTGCTTCATAAGGAATCTGGCAAGGGCTGTAGGATCCCAATCCCATGAGGACTGAATGTTGATGAAGCAAACAGGCCCTGATTGAGGGCAGCTAAGTGAGTAAGACAGGACCCAATCTCCACCTCTAGTGGAGTGGTTTCCAGCCCTAATTTTTCACAGCAAAACAGCATATGTTCTCCATGTCCTAAAACCATAGTGCCACCTGATGTCCAGGCAAACATAACACACACACACACACACACACACACACACACACACACACACACAGTGTCCATAAAGTTCAAGTGCACATGATGGACACCTGTGTGTATATAGTTATATACATATATGTTTTTCTTTCCTTTTTGATTAGTTGTATATTTATTTTCATTTTCACTTTCTTTAGTAGCAAGGGCTCTTTCATTTTTGTTATGATTTTTTCAGCCCCTTTTATTCTCTCTTTTTTTTACTCTCCTTTTGTCTATTGATAGAGATTTTTCTACTTTTCTCACCTTTCTCACATAAATTTCTCATGTAACAGCTAAAATATCCCTTTTTTCTTTATTGTATATATTTGTATGTGTAATTTCCTTTATCTATTTTTTGTTCTTTTCTCTGAGTGTTCGGGTGGTCACGGCACTGGTCTGGCTCAAGGAGGTCATGAGCTCATGATCTAGGGTGTCTTTCTAGCTTTGGCCTTTGGAATGACAATATTGGCAGGTCCCCACACAACATACTGCTAAATTTTTAACTTTTTTTTCCCTTTCCTCTCTTTCATTTGGCAGAGGTGGGGCCTTGCTTTTGCCCAGGCAGGTAAGGAGCTCCAGACTTCAAGGGAACCCATCCAATCTCATCCCTCAAAGTCCTAGAGTTGTAGGTATGGCCATAGCACCCTGCTGAACAACACCATTTCTCCTATCGCTCCCTTTCTCTTCTTTCACCTCCTCTTTTTTTCTTTTTCTTTTCTTTCTCCCTTGTTGCTCTTTACCCATCTTTTCCTTTGGCCCTATACTGAAAGGCCACTTCAACACCTAAGCTCTGAGACACAGTAATTTAAAGTGAAGGCAGTAGTAAGAAGGAAAAAGTAGGGAAAGGAAGAGAACAAGAAGAAAACAAACATGAGGAGGAACCAACAGAAAAATTCTGGCAACATGAAAAACCAAAACCTAGCAACCCCTCCAAGGGACCATGAGGAACCTACTGCAGAGAATTCCATCTATGAAGAATTAATGAAAATGACAGGGCTCGGCACCTGTGGCTCAAGTGGCTAAGGCGCCAGCCACATACAAATTCAGCCCAGCCGCCAAACAATAATGTTGGCTGCAACCAAAAAAAAATAGCCAGGTGTTGTGGCAGGCGCCTGTGGTCCCAGTACTTGGGAGGCTGAGGCAGGAGACTCGCTTGAGTCCAGGAGTTGGAGGTTGCTGTGAGTTGTGATGCCAAGGCACTCAACCCAGGGGCACAGCTTGAGGCTCTGTCTCAAAAAAATAAAATGAAAGAGGGGGAATTAAAATATGGATGGTAAAGACAACAAAGGGAATTAACAATAAAGTAGAAAAACAGAACCAAAAAATAGATAAATGATATGAAGAATATAGCTAGGATATGGCAGGGCTTAAGAACTTGAAGGAGTCAATCAGAGAATTTAAAGATGTAGTAGAAAGTATCAGTAACAGATTAAACCACAGAGAAGAATCTCAAGCTAGAGGATAAAGCTCTTGAGCTAATCAAGGTAGTTAAAGCAGAAAAGAAGTGAGAGAAAGCATTTGCTCAGAGAATTATGGGATTTCACAACGTGTTTAAACATACAAATTACAGGGATCCCTGAAGGGGAAGAAGAATGTCCCAAAGGAATGAAAGCCCCACTGAAGGATATCATAAATGAAAATTTTCTAAGTTTCACTAAAGATCCAGAAACACTCCTTTTAGGTGGATATTGAACCCTGGATCATCTTAACACAAACAAAGCATCTCCAAGACCCACTGTAGAAAACATATCCAAAGTCAAGACAAAAGAGAAAATTTTACCAGCAGCCAGAAGTTAAGTACCAACTGAGCTACAGGAGCAGATCCATCAGGGTGACAGCAGACCTTTTAGTTGAAATTCCCCAAGCCAGAAAATGGTTATCCAACTTTAACTTTCTTAAACAAAACAATTTTCAGCCCAGAATTCTATATCCTGCTAAATTAAGCTTCAAAATCAATGGTGAAATCAAATCTTTTACTGACATGTAGACACTGAAGTAGTTCACCACAAGTAGACATCACAGTGGCCCACTAGCAAAACAAACACACAGAAACTAAAAGATAAAAGCTAGCTTCCACAGAACTTTCACAAAATAAGATGACTAGAACTCCACCACACTTATCAATTCTTTCAATAAATGTCAATGGCTTGAATTCCCCACTGTAGAGGCACAGGCTGACAGACTGGATAAAAAAGCACAAGCCGTCCATTATGCTATCTCCATAAAACACACCTAACCTTGAAGGACAAAGCTAGACTCAGGGTTAAGGGATGGAAAATAGTATTCTAGGCAAATGGAAACTAGATGAAAGGAGGGATTGCAATCTTATTTTCAGATACAAGTGGATTTAAAGCAACTGAAGTTAAGAAAGACAAAGATGGTCACTTCATTCAGGTCAAGGGAACATTACAAGAGGACGTTTCAATTCTAAATATTTATCCACCCAACTTAAATGCTCCTAGATTTATGAAACAGACTGAGATTGCTCTGAGAAATATGATATCACATGAAATAATTAATAGTGGAATTTGAATGTTTCCAACAGAAATGTTAAATACCAGGGTAATAGATAACCCAATTATCCTGATTTTACTAATTCACATTGTATGAAAATATCACATTTATCCTATAAAGATACAAAACTATTATGTACTCAGAATAACTTAAAATATTTTTAAAATTTTTAATTTAAAAAAAAAAGAATATAGTCACCATAAAGACAAGCTCTTGGGGTCTGTTGTACTCTTTGACATCTTAGAATTTAACCATATAGTAGGCACTCAATAGATACTGGATAAATAAATGAACACATTTCAATGTGATAAGCCTTTGTAGGGGTTATTTATGAAATAAGTTATACTTCACATATGAAATTATGGTTTTATTTTTATTTCTTAAATTTTTTTTTATTATCTATTTATTTGTTTCTTTATTTAAAACACAAAGTCTGGCTCTGTCACCCAATCTTGAGTGCAATGGCATGATCATAGCTCACCATAACCTCAAACTCTTGGGCTCAAGCAATCCTCTTGCCTCACTCTCCCAAGTGGCTGAAACTACAAATGTGTTCTACCACACTCAGTCATAAATTAGGACTTTAAAGTACTCTTTTAAAAATAATGGCAGTTTCAAGTGTCCTAACCTGTTCTCTAAATGAAATGAGTAGGGTATGTTTATTTCTACATACATATTCATCCATGTACACCGTTCTTTAATCCTAGAAACATACCTTTACAATGTACTGCAATGGCACCCTCGGCATTTTCACAAATATCCAGAAATTCTTTGACAATAGCCTCAGTAGGGGTACTGCCATCCGCAAAGAAAAGATCATGGTGATCGAAACCAGCATCCATAAAGCGTTTAGCATCATACATCCTTTTATTCAGACGAATAATGGTAGTAACATTGTGATTCTTAAAATATGGAATATAAGTCTCAGGAGAATGTTGGTGGTAACCTACATAAAGAAATGCACCAGATACTATAAACACAGAAGAAAACAATGGATAATAGTTTCACCTGTAATTAGGTGGAGACAGAATCTAGACTGGGGATTGAATATCAATTTATTAACTGTAAAAAAACAAAATAAAAATAAGTTAAAATACAGGCAGAATGATGTACTGAAACGACCAAATATTCTTAAATAATTAAGAGTTAATTAAACTTAATTTAACTCTTTGGCCTATTTCAAAAGAACATCCTGGATGAATACTTTCAATAACAAAACTATACTGGCCCCATAGTTTTGCGTACCATTTTCAAGTCTGGATCTTGCATGAGGTCCACAGAAGGCAATAAATCGGCCTGGTATTATCCAATTTAAATCTCCATTTTCTGCTTTCTGCAAAGGGAAGACCAGCACGATTCATTTTTAAACTTAATCTCCTCCCCACCTTCCTGCTCAACATTGAGTCTCTGATGGACTTCAAATCCATTTTCTTTAGTAGAAAATCTTTTTATAAATGACCGTGAGACAGGAATTTAAAATTTGCCCTGCAACGAGAGAAGAACTAATTAACTTCTCCTGATCCTAATAACCTTTTTACAGCATTTCTTTTCTGGGGTAGTTTGCCCTTAGAAAACAGAACTACCTACTGCCGTCCAAACACACTAAATATTTTGTTATTTTAGCTCAAGTACTTTGGTTATTTCACCTAAATAAGTTATATTTATAGTTGCTGCCAATTAATAAGAAAGCAAACTTTTCCAGTATGAGGGATCAGGAAACTTTCCTATTTACCTGAATGTTTACCTAGCTTCCAGTAGAAGCAATCTTAACCCCTTGAATGAAGGAGAAAAAATTATCTATTTTGGTTTCTGGCTTCTCAATACATACTTACTTATCTATTTATAGAAACACATCTTTCTATCATTTTTCTAACTATTTATTATGGGGATCAATCAAAAGTAATCTCACTAAACCCACCAGGAAACACAAAATTAAAATCAAACACAAAATTGAGATCAGAGTTATCCCTACAAAACCCCCATAAACATAAACTGCTATGTAAAACAGGTTACTTCCTGTTAAGTCCTTTTGATTTAGTTATCAATATAACAGAAGATATAGTTCAAATTTATAAACAAGAGAAACATACCTTTTCCTGAAATGAATAATGGAGAATTTTAAGCAGAATGTAAGAGACATTTGATAATGGAAAAAGAGAACCAAAGATAAAGAAAAATCCATATAAACTAGCTTTGCAATTGGCTTATTTATACATGTACTGAAAAAGGACTAAGAAATAAACTGAGTTTCATTTTTTGTTGTTGTTGTTGTTGTTTTTTAACTGAGTTTCTTGAGCATCTACAGGGCCTAGGCAGGTAACCCAAAATCAATTTACTTGACTTCATTATCAACACAGGGAAGTGGTGAACCTGTATGTATGATAAATGGCCTAAGCAGGAACAAAGACCACAGCTGCCGGGTGTTCCTTTTTTTTTTTGAGACTGGGTCTCACTCTGTCACCCTGGGTAGAGTGCTATGGTGTCAGTGCTCACAGCAACCTCAAACTCTTGGGTTCAAGCGATCCTCTTGCCTCAGCCTCTCTAGTAGCTGGGACTACAGGTGTGCGCCACAATGCCCGGCTGGTTTTTCTATTTTAGGAGACACTGGGCCTCGCTCTTGCTGCCACTGTTTTTTAACTCATGAGTTCCAGCAATCTACCCATCTTGGCCTGCCAGAGTTTTAGAAGTACCAGTGTGAGCCACCATGCTGGGCCCAGATGTTCGATTTTTAAGTGAAATTTAAAAACTTGTAGTTTTTTAATACAAACCTGTGATTACAAATGATTGCTAGCATTATAGATTAAGATGCATCCTAAATTCAGAGAAGTTAAAATAGTGAAAAAGTGGGCACTGTGGCATCAAGTAGATAAATACACTAACCTCAAATTTCTAATTACACTGTATAGGCTAAACAAAAGTGGTCTAAGGGCTACCTAAGTACTTCCCTGTGTATAGATGCAGTTTCACTGGATGTAAAAACATTTGTCAGTGTGCTCCTGCTACTCATGTCCCCCAATTTCTACAGTAACGAGAAGGTGATGATTTCTCACCCCCCAGTGCTCCCTAATGACATATAAAGTCATTGCTATGTTACACTGAAGGAACAAACACCAATGGTATTTTTAGTAGTTCTGTGTACTTAAATATATGTTATTTTAAATATTTAATTTTATAAAGACAAGTACTAAAAGGTATTAGTGATTTAGTTATACTAAATTAGTATAAGATGGTCATTAAATATATAATCTTACTTTATCAATGAACTACTATTTCAGAGAGATAAGTTCTAATCAATCCTATAATAAGCTTTTACATCTTTGGTATATCATAGCAACAGCAAATTCTCCTTATTAATACATCAATGAAATAGTTCAATTAGACTTAAGAGTTTGAAATAATAGTTAGACTTTAGAAATTGATAGTGGAAAAAAAGTTAACCAAGAATCCAATATACCACTGCATGAAGTGCTAAGGTATCACCTCTCCAGCCTTAAAGAAAAAGTCTGCTCAAGATAACTTTAGTAGGATGGACAAGAGTCTACAAAACTTCTTAGCTGGACAAGGCCTTTAGCATAGCATCTCACTGAAGCCACAGAATCAAATTATATATTCTTTAAAAAAAAATACACTGTTGAAAAATGTGGAACCCCAAACCACAGATTTTGCCTGCCTGGACTTTTCCCTTACCCACTGCATCTTCTTTAAAAAAAAAAAAAAAAATTGTCTGGATCATTTGATAGGGCTGACCCAGGAACCTTGGACTTCTGAGATGGTCAAAGAACTAAGGCCAGCAAGAGCATCCCATACCCCTCCTCTGAACACAGGCTGATTCAGGTATAGGCACACGGTCAAGGCCAGGCTAGGAGAGGCATTCATGGATCTTCTGCTGGAGCTAAGATTACTATTCTTTTCTGATCAATTTGCCCAACTGGTAGATCAGAGCTGCTGGTGGCCATTTCTTATTATTAGAGCGGGCTGGCCTGAGAACAAAACTAGCTTCAGTCCAATTTCTGATATGTGGCTATGCATATGGAACAGGGTCATATTTGAAGCCCATATCTGCTCCTCAACTTTTAATTTATGTAATCCAACACATTTTCTTTTCTTTTTTTTTTTTTTTTACGTTGTTTGTGTTTACTATCTATAACTTGCAACCAGAAGCATTCTGACTTGATACAAATGAAAGGTTACGGTAAAAACAAAGATATTTGCCGGGAGTATTTAGACATATAATCACTAGTCACTTCAGCATACCCTACACTAAGGGTTTTACAAACAGTATCTCACTTGGCTTCTGGTATCTAGAAATCAGTTACATTTAATGAGATTTGATTTGTATGATAATTATAAATACTAAAAAATATTTAAAATAATTGTTATGAAGAATGCACAGATGCATAGTCCTTCCTCTGGAACCAAGCATCTAATAATGCAGAAATCAGCGCTAAGAACTGGGACCTGAGAAACAGAAGAAGGTGAAGATGATTTTTTTCACTCTGTACACATCTCAATTTTTTTTTCAAACAAAATTTTTGCTTCTGTATGTAAAATGGATGAACAAAAAAAGTTAAAAAAAAAAAAAAGGATGGGGAAATTTTGGTCAAAGAATATAAATTTTCAGTTACAAGATGAACACGTGCTAGAGACCCAATGTGTGATTGCATTCTTGAAACAGGCTGAGAGAGTAGATTTTAAGTTCTCATTGCATACACCAAAGGTAACCATGTGAGGTGATGAATATGTTAATTAGCTTGCAGTAATCATTTCACAATATATATATACATACAAAAACATTACTTCGTACATCTTAAATATATACAAATTTTATTTGTCAATTATTCCTCTCAATAAGGCTGGAAGCAGTCAGGAGGAATTAAAAAAATATTATCCCTGAAGACTTACTTCATAGTGTTCATATTCATCAAGGTTAAATGAGTTGAAATTAAGGAAGCCATACTGCATTGCCTAAAATCCAAAAAAAAAAAAAAAGCTTTTAAGAACAAAGATGCAAATAAGAAAACAATTTCCTATCTAATTTCCTAGTAATAAATACCAGGAGGCACTCCAAAAAGGTATAATTATATTTAGATTACTTTTCATTGAATAGTTTTCAAAGCAAGTGGGCTGTGCCTTGTAAATGCTTCTGGTATCTGGAAATGAGTTACAACATTTAATGAGATTTGATTTTTTAATTTTCATTCACCAATCATCTTATCTATACATAGTTAAGTAATGATACCTTCAAAGTAACTTCACTAATTTACTGAAGATTCAGTATCAATGTTGGCTGAAGATTCAGTTTAGGGTTCAAATATAATGCACAATCCGGTCTCTAAATAAATAGTAAAGAGGAAAGAAAAACCCATAATCTGGTTTATTCCAAACAAGACCCACACACTTAATCAGTATCTTCACTTTCAAATCTTCTATCTTGCATTAAAAGATGAATGTTCCCTATGTGAAAGACAGCCCAACATCAACATAAGTTAAAAATTCTTAGCAAAAAATGTTCTTCATCCTTTAAGAAAATACCAAAAAAATTTCTGTTCTATCCTATAGCCTCACTCTGTGGCAGCAGGCAAAGAATCCTGGGCAAAAGAAACAGAATATCTATTTCTTCTGGCAGCCTCTGAGAAACATTCTCCTGACTCACTGATCACTGAGCCAGACAGGAGGGAAGCAAGAACTTCTGATCCACTGGTAGTTTGGGTTCAAAAGGGACTCTTGTAAACTCCTGAAACTTATTACTGAAATACAAATGTAAATTAAGAAGGCTACAATGACAGCCAAAAGGTCTTCATTTTATAAGACATAGTTATTGAAGTAATAATCCTCAAACCAAATCCATGATAAATTTCATTTTGAACTCAAAATACTCTGCATGTCTCATGACATTTGGACTACAGATGTTCCTAACAGAATGATACAATTAAAAAGTAGTTTACAGACAATTCCTATTTTCCTTTGAATTCCATAAGATGATCTTACTGGAAGCATACAGCACTTTTAAATTGATAAATGTTTCACATATGCAGTAATATTCAAAAATCGGTCACAAATAAAAAATATTTACAGTGAAAATCAGAAGCTGTTGATACTTATGTAAAACTAAATATAGTGTGAAAAATACAATCTTTGACCTGTCATACCAGCTAATCATAATTAGACTTTGACTACAAAACTCAATTGGAAAAAACAAGCCAATAAGTAACAGAGATGGCTAAACCATGTTACAGCAGACCACTGGAAGTCCCTCAAAGCTTTTCCTTTTCTCTTTTCAAAGGTGAGGGTGCTTACCTACATTAGCCTGTCTGGCAGTGGCTTTAACTCCAACAGGAAGATACCATTTATATCTGTTGCCCTTTGGTCCCCTAATCAAGCTATCTGAGAGTCTGTGACAACTACCTCAATCAGCTCTATACTCCCAAGAATCCCTGGACTCCACACCAAATAAACTGTGATCTCAAACCTTATTGCCTGATACAAAAGAAAAAGGTCTACCAAATAGTCTCTGAATTTATATACTAATTAGCCCTCTCATTTTAAGACACAAATTTTCTGACAGAATTCCCAGAAAGCCATCATGTTTCATTGTAGAGGGTGCCCCAAAAGTCACCATATACACAGTAGGAAAAAATGAAAAATCATAACTACATGTACTTTTATCCATCATAAAGTTTCACAAAATATTTCTGTACAGGTTGATATATAAATACAAAGAATATTAAAAATAGGAAATAGAAGTTTATTAGTTTTTTCCTATTTATGGCAACCATTTGGGACACCTATTAAGAAAGTAAACATGGGTTCCTTTTGGCTTCAAAAATACAAGTTATATAAAACCTGAGATGTTGCTGAAGGCATATCTGACGGGCTACTGATTTCTAATTCTCATTTCTTGTGCTGCCTGGAAACTCTAAAGAAATAAATACACCAGGGCTTGCCGTATTGCATACCCAAAGGGACCCTGTTCACTCAGAATGTGATATTAAGTCAAGATAGGGGGCCCTGGAGTCAAGACATGAGCCCTGGGTATAAGGCACAGGAGTTACATGAAAATTCTTCTGACACAGGCAGTAGTGACACATTTCAATTTTATATAAAATCTTGTAAGCAACCAAATGGCTACTTCAATCGTATTAAACCAGAAACTGAACACAGGAAGAAATGAAAATGAAGTGTTTGACAGTTACTGTGTTAAATTCTATTGTAAATAATATTGGTGGGAATAAGACTTATAAAATACATAAATCCTAGACTGAAAAGCAGGCATCTATTTACTTTTTCTCTTTTGAATCACAACATACTCAAAACCAATTCTGGATCCAGAAATCTAATTTCAGGACAGTCTCTTACAGTCCTGTTTTTTAAATGGCTTTCCCCCAATTCCGTGCATAGAAGCATTCTTATTTTCAGAATCAACTGTTTCCTGGTTTTCTTAGCTCTAATGTTACTTGGGAAATGGAATACCTCTGTCGTCATATACATCTTGGAAGAAATTCTTACAAACAGATCTTTGGGGAAGAAGGCCTCCTCTTCCCTTGGACTATGTTAGTTCTCCAACACAACACTAGGATAGGGTGACCAGATTTTAACATTGGTAAGGCGGGACAACATGGCCAGGGGGCCGGGCGGGGCGGGGGCGGGGCGGGGCAGGGCAGGGCCTGACAATAATGCAAACTTTGATAAGCAGTTCTCGATAATCACTTCTCAGCAATTATTTGTTATTATTACAGTTTAACATTATAAAATTAACAAAAATAATATAAAACTCATATTCTGGCGAAATAGCCACATGGCAGCTGAAAACCATATATTCTCTTCCTGTTCTCCCACCCGTTCGTGCATTCTTTCCAAAAATCAGGACTTTTTTAAAACGAGGCGGGACAAATTGTTGAAAAGCAGGACTGTCCCGCCAAAAGAGGGATGTCTGGTCACCCTACACTAGGAGCATCCTACAAGTCACTTACCTTCTTTACTGCATGAAAACAGTCAAGAAGTGTAATGTAGAAATTGCAACTTCCATAGGCAGCATCTCTGAAATTCCGAAAGTATAGAAATAACAGTTCGGTTAATTACCTCAAGACAGAGCTGACTAGAATTCAAAATCAAATATACACTCAGAACCATTCTTCAAATTTAAAACAAAAAACTTCCCTTTTGGATTTTAAATAAAGGTTAAGTTAATTATAAATTCCATTGCAGTTTCTACCTATTCCAATTGGTATTGTATTATAGGCCTGAACCAATAATGGCCATTTCCCTAAACTCTACAGGATCTTTCTGGATCACTTTTTGTTTTGACAGCTGAGCTTCTTTCTTGCATTCAACTAATCATTAACACCAAACTCTCCTCCTAAAAGGGCAAGGCTTTTACATTTTTTTTTCCTTAAACTAGAAAATACCATATCAAATGTTACAGAAAAGACTGCTTTCTGACTCTTCCTGTATATGAGCATGTGTGTCTAGATATGCACACATATGTGTGTATGTGTATCTCCTTCAAAGTAGGAAAAAAAAAATGTTGAGAAATCAAGATAATATTTGAAATACTAGGTACAAGGCCATAAGCATTTTGTCGCTATCATTATGCTAGGATTTTTAAGAATTTAACTGGGTAACATTTTTCTGATTCTTAAAGGAAAATAATAGTACCAATAAAATCATAGGAACTAAAGAGTCAACTACCTTTTGAAGAATCATTCTACTCTTGAGAAAGTGCTTAAATTATCTTACCAACAACTCCATTCAAATATTATATAAATACCTATCAGCAATCTTACCACAAATCTCTTAACTTCAAGTAAGATACCTGTCCAGAAAAATAAGGTCCCCACCCCTCCCCTTTTCAGCTACCTTAATCCATTACAAGATGAAATTTTTTGGAACTAAGCAAGATAAAAATTAATCCAATTATGATTAAGCCAGGAATGCCAAACAACTGTGCCCATCTGAATATTATTCCTCTGTTCCTCAGTGGTACAAGGCTGCTCCTAGAGCCATCTAAGTGCCTCCCTTAGGCACTTAGGATACTAGGTTTTCACACTAGTATTTCTTACGGGGTGGCAGTTACATATCCATATGTGAAACTTTACCATGCTGTAGACTTAAGATTAGTGTTTTTTAATTGGATGTTAAGTTATACATCAACTTTTAAAAGGTGGGAAATAATGAAACATTGTAATTGTACATTTTTAACTTTTAATTCTTGTCTAAACAAACCTTAAAGGTTGAGATTATTAATTATAGCAATATTAAACTGTAAGAAAAACAAAATGCATCCTTTTTAGCCCAAAGAGTGTTTGATGCTACTGGCTGAACTAGAATCACTGAATTATGTTAGCTTTCATGAAGACTGGACACAAGGTTTATAACACATTATTTCTGTTCTGTTAATTTCTGAATTGAAAAGTTTTTCCTCTAAATGCTAGGAAAGATCTCTATTCATCCCAGAAAAAAAATGCTATCAATAGCTTATTGGCAATATTCAGACAGGAAAAAGCAAACTGACCTGCAGGAGCAGTACCCAGGGGCCAGCAGCACTAGACTCCCCCAACATTTACTGAACCAAAAGTTCTAGGGGTAGGGCCAGTTAACTGGTGTTTTCAACAGGTCTTGCAGGTGATGTATGCTCAAATTTATGAACTACTGACCCACAGAATCAACACAAATACTCTTTTTGTAGAAATAGTTTTTTCATAGAATAAGAAACAACTTTAGATAGAGAAGGTAAGGCAGAAAAATGAAACCGTTTAGCCTAAACCAAATGAAAATTACCAATGGAAATTCTCAAATTGGACCCCAATGATTTTAACCACATCTTCTGAGTTAAATACTATTACTATCTTATTAACTGACTCATAATTATTTTCCAGTTAATACCATGCTGAACAGACTTTGTAACAATTTGATGCATTTATTAAATGTACTTTTTTAGGCCAGGCGGCAGTGGCTCACACCTGTAATCCTAGCACTCTGGGAGGCTGAGGCAGGTGGATTGCTTGAGCTCAGGAGTTTGAGACCAGGCTGAGCAAGAGCGAGACCCTGTTTCTAAAAAAAAAAAAAATAGCTGGGCATTATGGTGGGCATCTGTAACCCCAGCTACTTGGGAGACTGAGCAAGAGGATCGCTTATGTCCAAGAGTTTGAGGCTGCTGTGAACTGTGATGCCACGGCACTTTATTAAGGGCTACATAGGGACTCATTTTCAAAAAAAAAGGGTATTTTTTTGATAACCTACTATGGGCCAAGCCCCACTCTTGTCAGTGATGATTTGATAAGCTTTGATCTGGAATCCCCCAAATCTTGCCTCTTGTACCACCTACTATCTGGATACACAAGAACAGTCTTTCTATTCACTCATATTTATTTCATTTACACTTCCAATTTTAAACACGCCCACATCTCCTTCCTCCCCCTGCAATCAGGCTTCTTCAAACAGGCAAAATAGCAACCCTGGGTCTAGATAAAACCCTTTGGCCAGGGGCAAGAGAGTGTGGGGTAGGGGCGAGTGGGGAAGACCATTTTTTGGCTAAGATCATTTAACAAACTTGGGAAAACAGATGGATTCAATAAAGGGATATTGCTTAGAAACTGCAAAAATAATATCAGATACTAAATTTTTTAAATGGCAACTTTCCTAACAGTTTGTATTCATAATAGCCCCAAACTGCAAATAACCCCAAAATCCACTAAAAGGACAATAGATAAATTGTGGTATAGAAGCAGTAACAAAGGATGAACTACTGATACCTGCCACATTACAAATAAATCTCAGAGACATTGTGTATTTTAAAATCTACAAGCCAGATCCCCAGAATGCATACCATATGATTCCAGTTATTAGAGGTTCAAAGGCAAGCAGAACTAAATGATGCTGGCAGAAGTCAGAGTAGAGGCTAGTTGAGGGGTGATGACTGCCTGGAAAGGGACAAGAGGGTATCTTCCAGGGTGATGGCAATGCTCTGAGTCTTGAACTACATGGTGGTTACATAAACACATGGAAAATTTTACTGTTCTGTATACTTGAGCTTAGTGGTTTTTTAAATTGTATTTAAGTTACACATCAACTTAAAGATGGGGGAACGAATAGCCAACAAATGTTAGCTGAGGGCCAAGTGTTTAATATGCAGGATGTCACTTCAGCCTCACAACTCCTTTAGGGAAATTTTATTATTGTTCCCATTTACACAGTAGGAGATAAAGGCTTACATTTTTAAAGAACCACAGAGATTCTAGTGGAAGAGCTGAGAACTAACCACCCATATATCTGGTGTCAATAGTTAATAGTCGATCTGTTAACAACTGTGCAATACCTTTCAAGAAAATCAAAAGCAGAGAAAAAAAAAAAAGAAAATCAACTAAGAAATAAAGAGTATAATAGATAATACCAGAGAAGAGAAATATAGTAGAACCTCCATAGATACCCACCTCCCGTCACTAACCACCTCCTTAAGTTGACTCTAATTTTCACAGACAGGACCTGCACCACATGTATGTGTAAGTGCAGTAGGCCTAGGCCCTTATGTTGACCACCTCTGTATGCTGACCAGTTTGTTAGTCCCTTGGGTGGTCAACTTACAGAGGTTCCTCTGGATATGCTCTACACAATAATGATCCTACAATACCAAGAAAATAGTAAACTACATCTTACACTATTTTTCATGCAGACAGTAAAATATTTAATATAATTCAGTAAGAAAACATATATATGACACTTTTAAGTTCAACAGTTAAGGAACTATATCTAAGTTTAAATTAAACCCAATTAAATATTGCTATGGAACATAAGTAAGTTATTTATTGTAAATGAATGGCATTCTCTCACAATCTCATTTGCAATACTTTGTTAGTCATATTAATCTAACATTTCTAGCATGGATGAAAAATGTAATGCCATTTCTATCAACATATTCTCAGGCTTTATTGATTTTGATTGGCTTACTTTCCAATTAGTAAGTTATACAGAACTTACTAAAATGTGGTGAAGCACCAAACTTAAAATTTTAAGTCCTAGCCAGGCACAGTGGCTCACACCTATAATCCTAGCATATTGGGAGCCTAAGGTAGGAGGATCATTGTAAGTCAGGGATTTGAGACCAGCTTGAGCAAGAGACAGACCTCAACTCTAACACAAAACAGAAAAATTAGCTTGGTGTTGTGGTTTACGCCTACAGTCCTAGCTACTTAGGAGGCTGACAGAATGGTCATTCAGGAGTTGGAGTGGGCAGTGAGCTATGATGAGACCACTGTACTCTAGCTGGGGTGACAGAGTCAGACCATCTCCCCCCTCCCCCCAAAAAATTAAATCCATCACAGGCTGTTGTTTTTGCAAAATACAATATGAAATATAATACAATAGTACTGTACCATTATGCATCCACAATAATGCATTACTTATTTTTGTAAACAAAATGAAAAATAGAAAAAAATATAAGCCCAAATTCTTCATTATTTGATTTCAAAACATAAAATTAGTCTATTAAATAACTATAAATGTCTCTAAAATCTTATTCTCAATCTCTGTACTTATTTCATCGCAGGCTAATAACAAAATGTTCACAGACTGGCACCAGTTCATGGGCCATACTTTGAGAAACACTGTTTAGGTGAATCAAATACCTGGCACCTATCACTGAAGAGATTCAAATTTAGCAAACCTGCATGGTTTCCAGGTAAGTCCTGTCCTGTTTCTCAAAGAATTACTTACCAATACTCTTAGGATCAGAAGTAACTAACTTCATTTCTCAATTCCAAACTTCAATAATTCTAAACACAGGAATAGCAGTAAGCAATGTTTATTCTGTTTTTGGCACCTATATTTAACCCCAAACCTCTTTTTTCACATCAACAGTGTTCCATGGATCCTTGAATTTCAATGTGAAATATGTGAACTTATTCATATTTCAGGACCTTCTGTGGCAAACTGTAAGCATGGCATTTTAAAGGATTACTATGCTAAAGAGTTGTGTACAACAAAATTATCACTGTGTATCAAGAGATGGCCTATGTCCCTGGGACTCAGGGACCACAAATACAAGCATTTCTTCTAAAAGAAGTATGTGACTGCTGTTATGTTATAGGTTGAGAAGAGAATGACGTACTCTTCAGTTTAGAAGATGACTTTTATTTCCTCTCTTCCCTTCCTACCTACCTCAAATATCAGAACACTTAAGGTCATCCATGAACTAGCAAGAAAGGGGTGAACTAGATTCAAACCAATTCTTCTAATTAGCTAAATCACTAATATACAATCTTTAATTCAATATATTACTGAATTATTCAGATTACGTTGACAAATCTCTATTTCATGGAGTAAGTCCATAAAAAGTCCGAGTTATTTGAAAAGGAGATTCTGCCAATAATTAAGAAGAGCCACCTCAAAGGTCATCTATCTATAAGAAGTCAGATCTATAACCTTACATTTTTAAAGGCAGGGCCATATCATTAAATTAGGCATTTGAAGTATACACAATTCTAAAACAATGAACTAATTTGTAAATCAAAGACTACAATTTGAAATTACCGATAAACTATGCAACAAACACATTTCATGCATTTATTACCCTTTACGACACCACACAGTATTTAGATACATAACTCAGTCAAATATTTTGATTAAAAAAAAACTTTTAGAACTAATTTGATTTATACATACACACACACACACACACACACAAAACCCGCAAGTTTTTTCAAAATATTTTTAACACCATCACATGGCAAGTTCAGAGAGAAATGTGTCATCCATTCTTGTAAAGACATCACTATCTACCACCTCCGTGACACAGCTGCCCGACTAGTTTTTCTGGAAATGGTGTTGGATTAGCAACCGCACCTACTGTCTGGGGGGTTGTGTCTCTAGAAAAAAAGGGGTTCAATTTTTGCCCCAGAAAGTAACTACTGATTATTGGGAAAATGTATTTCTTTACTCCTCAAGAACCATACTCCTTAGTGGTAGTTTTTAGTAACTCTCACTTGACTATAAAGCCTAGTTTTCATCACTGGCAGTTTTCAACTAGGGTAGATTTTTCTCCCCACCCCTTGTGCCACTTCTGGGATAGGTATACATTGGGGTTTGACAATTAGGGTGGAGGTTGGGATATTACTGCTATCTAGTGGCCATAAGCCAGGCATGCTGCTAGACATCCCACAATGCACAAGGCCACCTCCCATGAGATAACATCAAGATAAATCTATGGTGTCATTTGCACCCACCCTAAAATGACTATTTATCAGATCTTTTTCCAGAAACAACTACCAAGGTATCAGCAAGGAGCTGATTAAATGAGCCTACTATCTTATTCTTATATTTACCTGAAAGGAATATAGGATGTATCTCCAAAGATTAATATTCTATATGCGTCTTCTGGAGTTCTCCCCAAATATATCACCTGCATTTGAAAAGAGAAAAAAAAGGCAGTTTACTTCTAAATGAAGATTCACACTCTCACAGTGAAGTAAAATATGTCACTTTCGAGCCCATCAACTAAGCTGGGTTCTCTAGCCTTCCCAAAGACCCTATGAGTCACTCAGTACCCTGTTAGTGGATTCCTTTTTTGTTTAAGTCTGCCTTTGCTGGTCTCTGTCACTTGTAATATGAGCCCTGACCAAAAACTGTTCGCAAGAATCTACTGCAGTAGGAAGTACAGCACTTTCATAAAAAGATTTTCCAAATCAAGATGTTAGACTAAGCACATACTTGTACCTCATCTCCTTCCTGAAGTTCACTGAAATGACAGTTAAGAAGCAAGTGGGAGATGGGGGGGAGGGGGTTGGATTGGGATGAGGTGGAAGGAAACAAAAGCAGAACAATGATTTTGATGGATTCCATCCATTTAGGTTCAAGTATTTATAATACTATACAAGTTTACTGTAAAACTGTGTTTGTTCCCTACTCTCATCTGCTTCTTTTATCCTTGAACTAAGTGATACTTTTAATTTCCATCTGGGAGAATATTTCAGATATATTCCTTAGCATGTGATGTCTGTAGCTGGTATTCCTGCATTTCCAAAAATTTCTTTTTTCTGCCTTGCCATTTATTGTGGCTTTGCATAGGATTTTTGGTCTGCAGTCATCTTCTCTTGATAGTTTGCACATATTAGTTTCAATGTCTTCTCACTTCTAATGTTGCAGAAGTATGTTCTTAGTCTAAGTCTCTGCTCCTCCTCCTCACAAGTAACTTGTTTATTTTAGAAACATAAAGAATTTCTGAAAATTTCATTGGCATCTCTCTAAATAAATGCATTTATTATCCTTTAAGGTACCACATAAATATTTTGATAAACAAGACACTTTTAGAACTAATTTGATTTACACACACCCCCCCCCCCAAAAAAAAAGCCCACAAGTTTTTTCAAACTACTTTCCACACGATCTCATGGCAAGTTTAAAAAGAAATTGGCCTGGGACTTCAGAATCATCTCGCAGGGCACATTCAACTCACGTACGGTGGGCAATAGAGAGAAGGCCACACAGCATTAAATTTGGCACATATACCAAAATTAAACAAAATTCTAAACTTACTTTGGAAAAATATATTCAAAATTTTACTAATAAAAAAAGTCACTAAAAAAGTTAATAACAAACTTTTCATCTCCATTACTTAATATTATATATGTGGCCTGTGTCCTCAACCAAATTGTAAGCATTCTGAGAATCCATGTTTTACTGTTTCTTTATATATGAACCCTGATAAAAATTTGACATAAATATAAAAATATCACTGGATTAAGAGAAATTATGAAAGAAATCATTGAAACCCAGAAAAAGACATATTCTAAAACTAGTTGTTGTAAGAGTTAACTCAGTTTCCAGAGGGCATTTCATCAATTTTCTGTTTTAAGACTCATACATGGAAAATTCTTCCCAATGTCTCTAGCCTGTTTCTTAGTAAGATTTCATCTCATTTACTCTATAAAGAATACAAAAACTAATAGTTAACTCTACAGACTCTTCAAACATTTAGTTATCTACAGCAGCATATGAACCCACAAAAGGCCTAACAGAAGAACAATCGATTCCAAAAATAACAAAATATTTTATTAAATGTTACCTAATAGTACAATAATTTTGAAATACACTATTACTGCCTTTGATTATAAGAATGTAAGTTATCATGAACTAATCATAAGACCATCGTCTATAATCTCATGCAACAGACTATGTTTGTGAAATTCATTTGTCCCTACCTAATTTACTCTACATTTACATCTTGTAAGCATCAACCTATCAGTTGACTTTCTACTTTATTACTATTTATTTGGAGAAACAGCATAACAACTACTTCATGACAATTCTTAAAATTTTAAAATTCAGCCTATTTTTTCAAATTCTCTCATTCCATTCTAGTCTTCAACTTCTCCTGCCTCTTCTAAGTCCAGATAACATCAGTGAAATCTTTTTTCCACTCTATTTTAGGACGTCCTAGCAGATCCCCTCCCAAAAATCTCTCCTAAAACTAAGTAAATAAATAAAACCCACTTTGTAGCCAATAAGGGTGAGAATAGGGTTTGACTCCTTTCTATATTGAAATGAAATCCAGAGATTTGTTTTAGAATTTTCCTAAATTTCTAAGACTTTCTTACAAATTATATGTTTTTCCTTAAGTACCAATGAAGAGAATTCTACTTCAGACTGGGGTTAGCCTCTTAAATTACTAAAATTGCAATGGTATTAATTCAGAACAAAAGTAGTTTAATACATTAAATAACCGTAGGTTAACCCTGGAACACAGTTCAATTCAAAGAACACAAGAACAATGTAACATTTTTTCCTATGGGGGAAAAAAACCCAAATTCCTGGCAATGAACTTAAAAACACTGTAATTTAAAAATACAGCTAGGGAATGCCTGTACACAAATAGATAAAATAAGTCATACCCAGATAAATTGAAGAAAACTTAGATTCGTAATAAATCCATTTATATAATAACTATCAGAGAAATATTTCCTACCAATCTATAATTTTTACTTATCTTCCTAAGAAAAGGCCTTCCCCAAATGAAATAATTCTAAATGTGTTACTTAAGAAGAACCCTATAACTGACTCCTATATTAACACAAATTCTCAGCTTGTGTTAAGATGTTGAAAATTGATGCAATTTTATTATTTATCACTGAGCTCCTGGCAATTTGGATACTACGCATTTCTCAAATTCTTTTGGTATACTTTCCTGAGAAGCTATGCATATACACAGCATTATTTCACAACAGAAAACAACAAATGATGACCAAGAAAAGATATTAGACAGCTGTGATAGCCAACTTCTAAGACAGCCCCAAAGAGTCTCACATCCTGGAATTTCCACCCTTATGTGCCCCCACAAATGGCCAGGGTGCCCCGTGGAAACAGTACAACAGTGCAGGAATGACAGAGTGTGAATTCTGAGGCTAGATGACAAGTGGCTCTTTCTTTCTTCTCTTTTTTTTGAGATCGAGAGTGTCACTCTGTCGTCCTAGGCAGAATGCCATAACATCATCATAGCTCACAGCAACCTCAATCTCCTGGGCTCAGGTGATCCTCTTGCCTCAAACTCCAGAGTAGCTAGGACTACAGGTGCCCACCACAACACCCAGCTAGTCTTTCCATTTTTTGTAGAGATGAGTTTACTGTTTAGGTTTGGGTTTACTGTTATTTTAAGTCATTTTGTTTTGGAGTAATTTGCTGGGTAGCAATAGATAACACAGTAGCACACTCAACCATGAGGAAATGACAGGGCAGAGATGCAGTTTGGGAAACATAAGAGTCACTTGTCTCTAGGATAGAGAACCTCCTTGAAGGAGCAAACTGCAATCTTACAGAAAGAATAAAATATTATAGTAGAAACTAATGGAGATATCAGTAGTGGTTTTCAAAGTCATGGTCCAAGGTTATTTTTTGTTGAACAATACCTTAGCCATTTCTAGAACTTTCCACCACCCCCAATTTAAAAATCACTGTCTGCATGTCCCAACTCCTCTTAGAATGAATCTACTCATCGCTGTTTCAAAACCTGGGAGGTGCTCAATTAGCAGTGGATAGATGAAAGATCACAACTTAGAAAATTTATTGTTTCAATTCTGCCAAGCCAGCCATCAAATAATAAAAAACAAATTAGGGCAGGGCACAGTGGCTCATGCCTGTAATCCCACCACTCTGGGAGACAAGGGTGGGATCACTTTAGCTCAGGAGTTCAAGACCAGCCTGGGCAGAGCAAGACCCTGTGTCCACTAAAAATAAAAAAACAAAGCCAGGTGTGGTGTCACTTGCCTTTAGTCCCAGCTAGTCAGGAAGCTGAGGCAGGAAGACTGCTTGAGCCAGGTGTATAAGGTTGCTGTGAGCGAGCTAGGCTGAGGCCATGGCACTCTAGCTTGGGTGACAGAGGGAGACTCTGTCTCCAAAAAAACACCCTATTAGCCATGTGTTTCTTATTTCTATTTCTATTCTTATACACAACATTTTGAAACTTTATTTGTATACTTAGAGAGTCTCTGGTAAAGTTTAAAAACCTGAACACTATGCAATTCATCACATTCTCAAGTTCAGAACAACAAAGGGCATTTAAATTCCAACAACAAATGAGGCAGCCTCAGAAACCAAGCAAAGTCTTTTCAAATATTCTTTATGGAGAAATGTCACAATGTTTTAGCATTTAAAAATTCTCATGACTATTTTCACATGTCAGCCAGATGACATAGTCTTTCTTATGCCAAGAGTTTGACTGATCTTTAAAAAAATAAATTTATTCCTGCCAGATTAATAAAGAATGTTCATCAATCAATCCAAGTTTGAAATAAGCTTAGTCAACTGCTAAGTAAAAAAGGTTAGCAGGAGAAAGAATGTATATAATATAATAAACAATTTTATAGACTAAAATAAGATAAAATCACTTTCACAGCTCATATACAAATACTGGCCAAAGAAATCCTAAGTCATTAAAAAAAAAAATCAGGTAACTTTTACATTTCAATAATCTCACTTTTCTAATTACTATTATTTATATAGAGTATGTCTGTAATACACTAGAATAAAGATCCTCAATTTAGGCTGAATGAAATAGGAAGTCCAGAGGAGCAAATATACGTCCACTGAGGCCAGACAGCTAATAAAAATGTGTGAATTATCCCTGGGAATAAATGCATATGGCAAGCACTGTGTGAGTTGTAGGGACTTAAAAAAAAAAAAAAAAGCTAAAATCTTCATTTTTTAAATGAAATTTTGTGATTTTTAAACATTGAGGGAAAAAAAGTGCCATAACTATTTATAAATACTCTGTGAGTTACATAAAACCAGTGGCTACTGCCTTCTAAACTGTGGCATTAACTGCTCATCTAAGATCACACACTGCTTGTTATTGATGGAAAAGGGCCTGCTGCTCAGGTCTTATTTATAGACAAGAAGCCACACTATCTA